TGCCAGGCACCATCTTGACTTGTTTACAGACCCTAACATTTCTCTGGCAAAATGCCAGGCGCCATCCAGACTCTAACATTCATTGATGATATTTAATATTACAGGATTTACAAAGGTGGGAATTCTGCTTGCTAACTAATACTGTTATGCTTATGAATTTCATTAATTTATTAAATATTTGGCCTGTGTCTGCTCTGTGCATAGTGCTGCTGCATCAAAGCTGTGTGTCTGTTGTTTTTGTCTTGCTTACAAACAATAGCGGGGATGATGTGTGGCAGCATATAAGAACAAATGAGACCATAAATCAAGAGTTAAGAAGGAGAGTTTATATTAAAGTATGTTTATTTGAATGACAGGATAGAGAGGTTGGATTTTCAGAGGGATTATTTATAGTTTTTTTTTTTTTTTTAATGGTGTTTGTAAAATCCAGGAGGGGCTGGGGTGTAGCCCAGTGGTAGAGCACTTGCCTAGCATGTGGGAGGCCCTGGGTTTGACCCCCAGCACAGCATAATAAAAAACAAAAAACCAGGAGGATATTTTATTTCCATAGTCTTTTACTTAATGTGGTGGTTTATCCTATAATATTGGGCAAATGTGAATTTTCTTATTAGGTCATTGAAGTTATACATAGTAGTTGGGTTCATCTTGACAAAATCCTGCATGTGTGGAATTTGGTTTCAGTTCACAATCCCCCTTCTCCTTCCTCAACTCCACTAGACTTCCTTTTGCTCATTTATTTATTTATTTTTGATTGGTTCTTTTTACATATACATGAAATTACCTGTAGTATATTTACATATGCACATAACATGGTTTTTAAAAGAATTCCTTCTGCATTTCTTTCCCCCCACTCTGCCTCTTGATCTTTTTCTTTTATATTACTGATCTTTATTATATCTTGATGATATTCTATTCTTCCCTCCTCCTTTATTTTACTCTAGCTTTTATATATAAAAGAAAACATTTGACCTTTGAGTTTCTGGCTGTGGCTTATTAATGTGAATACTTTTGAGGGAGAATAATTTTCTTTTGGAATTTTAGTTTCTGTTTTAGTTTGTATTTAGGCACAACAGTGTGTAAGAGTTAAGAGTTAAAGTAGATTGTATTTTTACTTTTTTTTTTTTTTGAGAGAGAGAGAGAGAGAGAGAGAGAGAATGAATGAATTTTTTACTATTTATTTTTCAGTTTTTGGCAGACACAACATCTCTATTTTATTTTTACGTGGTGCTGAGGATCGAACCCAGCGCCCCGCACATGCCAGGTGAGCGCGTTAACACTTGAGCCACATCCCCAGCCCATACTTACTTGTTTTTCTCTTTCCTGGGGATCAGACCACATCCTCATGAATGCTAAGCTTAGTGCTGTGCCATTTACCTAACCCCCTGGCCCGAAGTACCTTATTTTTAGTGTGGGAAAATTTTCTTTTTTTTTATAGTTCTAAGATTAATTTACTAAATTATGTAGTATATCAGATATTATCAGATGGTTAATTAGGTTTGGGAATTCTATTTGACAGGGAATTATGAGAATTAGTGACTTTTTATTTCAATCTCCTAAGAGACCTTTGTAATAGTTTTTCAACTGCAGGTAGATCTGCTAATCCATTCACTTACCTTCAGTATCTCATTAATTTTTTTTCTTTCACTTCCTTGATTGTCTAGTTCAGATTCTGTGGTAAATTTGCATTCATTTTAAAAACATCTGCAACTTCCTTGCCTCTCTCTTTTTATGATACCAATCTAAAAAAACTCCTAAACTTCTTATGACATCAGATATTTAAAAATTTTTATTCTAATACACATGGCTTGAGGTAAAAGCAGTAGTATCTGTATCCTTTAGATTATAGTTCTTGGGTCAGGGACTTTTTCTGATGAATTTGGTGTAAAAGGAAGTGATGATAGGACCAGTGCAGACAGCTGGAAAAAAGATGGAGGGTGTGAATGTAGAGACAAAAGTAAAATAAAATAAAAATTAGGAAAATTTGTAGGCAAAAATTGTGACAAAGAGAAGGATTAAAAGAAAAAAAATTTTAAGAGGTTACAAAATCACAGAACTAATTTTGGAGAATTGGTAGGTGAACAGTAGCTGAAGAAATTATAGAAAGAGGCAAAATTTTAATTAGCCAAATAATCTTTAAACATTAACCACAGTATATGGCAAAGACATTATGACCCCATCTTTGACATATGATTTCACGGAATTTAGAAAGTTGCTAAAAGACTAAATTGTGAAAAAAATCTCCTTTTAGTACCAGGTTTTGGGCAAATAATTGTAATGCATGTATTTGGTTGGAAGTTATCCAGTGGAAACAGATTGCCACCATATTGACTTGTATGGAATGGTTGGTGGAAATGTAAGTGCAATTTCAAGAAATCTTTAGAAACTAAATGTACCCCACAACTCAACAGACTGGCTCCTAGGCTCTTTTTCCAAAGGATATGAAAACTTAAATTCATGCAAAAAACCTATATGTTATTGTTTATAGCAACTTTGTAATAGTAAAAAAGTGGAAAGAATTAAAAATTTTTACAATAGCTGAATGGTTAACAAACTTACAGTTAAACATATATTCTGTGGATACTACCTAGCAATGTAAAGAAGATAATCACAAATTGGATGGATTGTGAGCATTAAGCCAAGTGGAAAAAATATCTCAAAAGGCCACTTAACTCTGTGATTTCATTTACATAACATTTTCAAAATGACAAAATTCTGCGGAGGGTATAGAGATTAGTAGTTGTCAGGAGTTAAGGATGTTGCTCTGAGGGGTGTTGATGACTGATCAGTAGCATGAGTGTGCTCTTTATAGAGATGGGAAAGTTTTGCATCTTGATTATGGTAGGATTTACAGAAATTTATGTAACAAACTGATACCTCTACAGAATTAACAGATAAACAAATTGATCATCAAATTATACTATTTAAGATGTAACCATTGGGGAAATATGGAACACTTCTTGGTACCATCTTTGTAACTTCTGCAAATCTGCAAATATTCCAAAGTATAAAGTTAAGAAAAGGTAATCCTGATAGTAAAATGGTAACTTCAAAACTAACACAAAAGTTTTGGTGAAGAGCTATTGAAAGCTTTATGAGTGAGTTAAAACTTTAAAAGACTTTTAAATAAGTAATAGGCAAACTGTTTTCTATATTTCTCACAATATTTTTGGGTTAGGATTGGCTGTAAAAATTTTAGTAACATGATATATTGGTGAGAGTTCTAAATAGCATATGATAAAAGGCAAACAACGTACATTCATATAGTACTGTTTAGAAGAATGAATTATAATCTTCCTTATATGCTAAGGTTATTTTTATTGATTTCTACTATTTTAATGATAGTACTCTAAAAATAATCTAAATGGATTGAGTTTACAATGTGTTCTCCTGTGTAAAGAAATATTTTTATACTTGATAAATTAGGATTGTAATTAGAATGCTTAATAAACCAAATAGGAAAGATTCTCATTGATCATGTTATTAATTTCAAAGATATTAAAATTTTCTGTGAATATATCCTATTTTTGTTATAATATTTCTTTATGTTTGAACAAACTTTTCCCCTTCAAAACAATTGAGTTTGTTTAAAAGGAAAAGAGAGTTGGTGATCTTAAAATAGTATAATTTGCATAAATCATTTGTAATAAAGTTTGGAGGTGTTATAATTGCTAAGTGAAAGCCATTTAGAAACAAAGGGATAACATTCTAGGAATTTCTAACAAGAGTCTGGTAGTGTCTGAGGAGTCAGGAAGAAGGCTGGATACTAGAATAAGTCTTGCCTTCGGGTTCAAACCTTGTTGCACTCACAGTTTTAGCTGTCTGCTTAGAATATGGATGTTTATATACTCCTTAGGATTATTTTAAAGATGTTTTCCTATCAAGTTGTTATATGCGTTTAATATAACAAACATTCCTCTAATGTTTGGACTTAGGCCAGCTTCCCTTTCTGAATCAAGATACTTTTGGGCATGTTGGTTTTTTCGAGGTCATGGATGTATCCTGTTTTGCCTTACTCAGTGCTGGGGGGAAAGGCAGTGCTGCTTTCTCAGCATTTACATGAAGTGGTGTGGTGTTGGCTTGTCTTTAGAGGAAGAGGGATCAGTTATAGCAAAAAATAAGTAGGTCATGTTCAAAACAGGTTAATCTATAGTAGAAAAGGGTGTAAAGTGTAAACATACTATTTGAAATATTGTTAATATGGTGATATAATTGTTGATAGGAGGAATGAGTAATAGAATAGAAGAAGACAAGTAGAAAGTGTGGAAATGGTAAATTACAATGTTCAAATTATTTAGAGATTTGAATAAATCACATGTGACTAGTTCACACTGAGATGTACTATGAATATAAAATACACATTGAACTTTGAAGAAGTAATAATAAAAACAACATAAAATAACCCTCCTCTTCATTTTTCTTGTGGTGCTGGGAATAGAACCCAGGGCCTATGTGTGCTACGCAAGCACTCAACCACTGAGTTCTGTTTTTAACTCCATTGATGTTTTTTATATCGACAGTAAGATATTTTAGATATGTTGAGTTAAAATAAATCATTAAAAGTAAATTCACATGTGTTTACTTTTTGGAATGTGGCTATTTGAAAATTAAAAGTTATGTATATAGCTTATATTTCTCTTGGTCTGAATTACTCCAGAATGTACTGTAGGTTAGAATATGCAATTACAGTTGGTTATCTTTGTGGGGCAGTAGACTTAAGTCTGGAGGAAGTTGCATTAAGGGAGAGTTGTTTTTATTTTAAACCCTTTGCCATCTGATTTTTTTTTAAGTGTTGATGAAATTTGATTTGAAAGTACCTCTTTAACAAGGACTGTTGTCTCTACCTTAAAGTATCTTAATCTGTTGTGGTGTAAATTATATACAAATATTAATCATTGTAAGGAATTTTGTAATTAAAACTAGTAATTATCTTATTCACTGTTTTTTATTTCAGTTTTTTCTTTATCAGAAATAAAGTACTCATTTTTTCTGCTGTTGTTTAGCTTATTGCAGGAGTGACCAGGATACTACTTTTTAGAAGTAATGCCCACAGAAAGCGGAAGTTGTTCAACTGCTCGCCAAGCAAAACAAAAGCGCAAATCACATAGCCTTTCCATACGAAGAACTAACAGCTCGGAACAGGAGAGGACAGGACTACCAAGAGAAATGCTGGAAGGACAGGTAAGTTAACATTGGTCAGTACCTTATTTTAAAGATGTTGATCATGTTTCTAATGTTATAAATATAGCCAAATACATACAGGCTTCTAAAAAATGATTTGGGTTATCAAAACTTTATCAAAATTCTCCCCAAATGAATCCACTAAAATTACTGTCAAACACAATAGCATACACAGAGATAGAATTAGATTTCTGGGTTAATGTATTGATAATACTTAACAAAAAGAAGTAAGTGTGATAGTACGAATTAGTTTTTATTCTCTGTGCAGGTTAATTGACAGTATAGTTTTGCATTTTCTTATCTGGAGAAAAGATCATAGTTTTAGCAATTTTTGTTCTCTGAGGAGGTTTTGGAATTAGGTCTTTTTTTTTTTTTAACATTTGAAAAAATACTTTTGGTTGTAGATGGACACAATACCTTTATTTTATTTGTTTGTTTTTTTTGTGGTGCTGAGGATCAAATCCAGTGCCTCACACGTGCTAGGCAAGTGCCCTATCACTGAACTATAGCCCTAGCACTGGAATTAGTTCTTTTAGTAACTTAATTTGACTTTACTTTTATCTCTGCTATAGTGAGTATACTGTCCTTGATTAAATGCATTAATACCATATTGATAAATTTTGCTTATATATCTAGTTTCTTTATAGATGATGCAAATGTTTTGAGTTTTTAAAGATTGTTATTGTGAAGTCTAAGGTATGTTAATTATATGAAAATAAATTATTAGAGATATATGTTTATATGTGTGTGTATATAAATAGTAATTTTATAACTATTCTTTCACAACTATAATTAATTCATTAGACACACTGCTGCAGGATAATAAGACATCTGAGAAATTGGTTCTTGTGAATATTGGGTCTTGTTAAAACCTTGCTGATAACTTTATGATTGGGATTTCTAGGCTACTGCCTCCAAAAGGGCAGTAGTGTCTATACAGAACCCAATGTAATTACTGCCATAAAGTAAATCATCAGTGCAAATTTAGTTTTTGTGTGGTTATCCGTCAGTATTCTTGGGGGATTGGTTCCAGGACCCCCCAAGAATGCCAAAATCCATGGTCCTTATTTACAGTTGTACAATATTTGCATATAATCTTCTGTATACTTTAATAAATCATCTCTAGATGACTTATACTTAACTAATACAATGTAGATGCTATGTAAATAGTCGTTACACTGTGTTGTTTAGAAAATAATGACAAGAAAAAAAAGGAGTCTGTATATATTCTATATACATGCAGTTTTTTTTTTTTTTCCATTCAGATGGTTTTTATCTGTAGTTATTTGAATCCAGGGGTCTAGAAATTGCAAATGTGGAGGGTCAACTATGCCAAGTTCTATTTTCCATAAAAAATGATTATATTTTAATTTAATGATGGGAATAAAAATCATAAAAATAACTATGGTATTCTTATTGTATAACTTTGCTAGAACTACTGTAACAGAGTACCACAAACTAGGTGGTTTAAACAACAGAAATTTATTTTCTCACAATCCTGGAGACTGAAATCTTAGGTCAAGGTGTAGAGAGGATTGGTTTCTCTTGTAGCCTCTATCCTTGGCTTATAGATAACCACCTTTTTCTTGTGACCTTGTGTGGTCTTTCCTCACTACATGTCCAAACTCCTTTTTCTAATAAGGACACCAGTCATAATGGATTGGGGCCACTTTTGTGACTGCATTTTAACTTAGTTACTTCTATAAAAACTCTTTTTTTTTTTTTTTTTAAGACTCCACCTTGAAATATTGTCATTTTCTGAGGTCCTTAGGCTTGGATCTTTGGCATATGAATTTTGGGGGACATAATTCAGCCATTTAAGAGAGTGAAACCAGAGCTATGTAGGAGAATTTCTGTGATGGTGGGAATGTTCTGTGTATTTTATAAGGGAGTAACAATGCTAACTGTGACAGTTGGGTACTTGAAAAGTGGCTGGTGTGATTTAGAACCTGAAATTTTACTTTTTAAAAAATTTTAATGATTTTACATTGACGTTTACAGTGAAATTGAGCTGGTGGCTACTATATTGGACAGTGCAGGTAAACAGTCTAAGATAGTTTTAAAATTATTATTTTTTTTTGGTTTACTTACACTTTAAGCAGTGAGAATTCTACAACTCCTTGCTAGTATATTCTAGTTATTTTCCACACAGGGTAAATATAAATGCATTCTTTCCTGGCCTTTTTGTGTTCTTGTCCTCCATTGTGATGTAATACAAGGAAATAATTGCATATCACAGTAACGCTTATGAAGGTAATTCAGAATTCTGCAAGCTGAACAACCTAGTCCTCTATTGCTCTATGGCCTTCTTCGTGTCTCTCACCTAGACACTACTTATTTGTTGAATAAGTGCCAGTAATTTGGAGTGGGACCAACCAGCATGTTCTGTTAGTGGCCAGTGTAAGGTGCTCTACCTTCCTTTTGCAGCAGGAGGGTAGAGAGTGATGTGTTTGGTGCATGCAGTAGGCATGGTAGGTAAAAGTAGAATGATTAGAACATAGAGCTGTTGATTGCCTGTAAATTGAATTGTAGGTGTAATCACTGTCTAGGCAACTTATGCAATAATGCCCTTTCAGTTGTTGGAGAGCAGAATAAAAAAAAAGTGAAGATTAGTCTGAATGAGATATTAGATTTGTAAATCAGAAGTATTTTAAAAGGCAATGATTAGTGTGCCTTCTAATCTGTGGGAGTCTTGTCATTACAGAGGTCTGCTGAGTCTCTGTCTTTATTTACCTGTATGCCACATTGCCTGTGGCTTGCAGAGCTACTTTTTGCATATGTGTACTACTTTTTCAGGTGTATGTCAGTGTTGATACGATAAAGTGCACATTCATTTAAAAGCTTTACTTAATCATAGTAGCTTTCCTGTCTTGAATTTTCTCAGTTGGGGCCAAAAGTGGAACACCTATTTCAGGGATAGTGATATTAAATGGCATAAAAAAGGAGAACTGATAAAATGGGGTTAATGATTTGTTTACCAAAATGCATCTCAGCTTTGTTTTCTCTACCAATTGCTTTTATATTAAGAGGTATTTGATATTCAAGGAATTTGTGCATAATAAAGGTTTTAAAACATTATTGGTATAGGTGAGTAGAAATTGGTGTGTGTAAAATAGATATGGCCTTGAATGGGAGTCAGAATGGCTTCTCTAAGGTAACATTTGGGAGGGACTGTTCCAGCAGAGGAAGTGAGTGGAATACACAGAGACCTTGAGGCAGGTCAAATAAATATTAAATGCACTTCTCAGCTCAGTACAAGCTCATGTTTTGTATTTTGTGGTTATTGAGATTTCTTTTTTGATGGCTTAGTTTACATTTCCATTGTAATTTTAAGTTTTTGTTGTTGTTGTTGTTTATTTCATGTTCTTTATCTACATTTTAGAGGGATGTTGAGATTACCAGTTCTGCCAGATTCAAATTTTAAATTAGTGGTTTTACATGTAAATATTTTTAAGTGGTTTACAAAATTTGTATGAGAAATATATGATTAAAACAAAGCTCATATTGCTAAAATGTTATCATTTTCCCTAAAATTTATTTTCCTAAAGTGTTAACCTGAGCCAGACACGTGGTACATGTCCATAATCCCAACAAGGAATCCCAGAGGCTTAGGCATGAGAATCTTGAGTTCAGAGCCAGCTGCAGCAACTTAGGCTAAGCAATTCAGTGCAACCCTGTCTCTTAATAAAAGTATAAAAAAGGATTGGGGATGTGGCTTAGTGTTTAAGCGCCTCTGGGTTCAATCCCTGGTACAAAACAAAACCAAACAAAAAGTTAACCCAAGAAGGAATTTTATTAAACAGCATATCTTTTGTAAAGATTTGTAACTCACGTATTTGCTAAAATCTGTGCTATACATAGATTTGGGAAGTTACTTTGAAAATCATACTGATAGCAGTTAAATATTGGAACATTATTTTAGAAATATTTCTTGAGAATTTTTGGAGGGGAATTATTCTTGAATGCTGGGGTGAGTGGAGGAGCCTTGTAGACCCTACCCTGGAGACTAGAGTGTAGACGATATCTAACAATTTTCTACTTATTAGCAATGTTCAAGAAAAGTAAATGCTTTGTGTACTTAACTTGGTGTCTACGATGCTACTCACTCATTTGACCCTACTCAAAATTCAGCTGAGATGTTGCTTCTTCCCATTGCCTTCCCTTGACTTTTAGACAGAGACTGGAGTTGTGAGAGAAGATATGCAAAGGCATGAAGAATGTGGCCCAACTGGGAACTTAAAAGTTAATGTTTTCACTTAACTAATAGACATTTTGCTCTTATAGGTGAGATTTTCCTTTTTTCCCTCTTCGTAACAGTCCTGTAGGAATTAAGTAGTTATAGGACATACCTAGTTGATTTTGCTTGAAATACAATGGATGTTAATGAGATGATAAAGCACATATTAAAATACATTGATAATAGCATATGATAGAGCTTAAAGGCTATTTGTAATATAATTTCACCTATGGGTATTGTCTTCTCTACAAATTTGGAAAATTTTTGAATAGGTAGGCTTTTATCTTATAAAAGAAAAATTATGTTATTTTGAAGAAGCAATTATTTTAAAATATCATATTACCCTAGCCATTTATACAATTTGATTATTGTTTTCTCTGTGGAAATTTGAAGCTTTTTTGTTGTTGTTGTGCTGGGGATTGAACCTGGTGCCTCGTGCATGCTAAACATGCACGTTAAAACTGAGCAACACTTCAAAATTTGTAAACATGTTATGTTTAAGAAATAGAATACAATATTATATAAAATAAGAGTTTAGGATAAAAGATATTTACTTTGAAAAAAGTATGTTTGTACTTGGTATTACAGTTTCTCATTCATTCATTCATTTATTTTAAAATCTTTCTCTTCTACAGGATTCTAAACTACCTTCCTCAGTTCGCACCACACTTCTGGAACTGTTTGGTCAAATAGAAAGAGAATTTGAAAACCTTTATATTGAAAACTTAGAATGTGAGTATCTCATCTTAAAAAACTTTAAAAAATATATTTTTCTAGTATAGATGACATAATACTTTTTTAAATTTTTATTTTATTTTTTTTAGTTGTAGTTGGACACAATACCTTTATTTAATTTATTTATGTGGTGCTGAGGATTGAACCCAGCACCTCTCACGTGCTAGGTTAGCACTCTATTGCTGAGCCACAACCTCACCCCACCTTTATTTTAGACATTTATTTTTATGTGTTGCTGAGGATTGAACTCAGTGCCTCGCACGTGCTAGGCAAGTGCTCTACCACGGAGCTACAATCCCAGCCCCTTAATACACTTTTATAACTTTGTACCTGTGTGTAGAAATCTTGAGAGTAAAATTTGTGGATAGGTGTTCATCACTGTATTAATTTTCTATTCTACTATAACAAACAGTGGCTTAAAATAACACAAATTTATTGTCTTAGAGACATATAGGTTTGACATGATTCTCACTAATGTCAAGGTCTTGGCAGAGCTGTGTTCCCTTCTGGAGGCTCTAGGGATGAATATTTCCTATTTGTTGGTATGTGACAGGATTCAGTTCCCTTGCCAAATTACTTGGCTCACAGGACCTCCTCTCTCCCTTAGTGATGGAATCTCTTGTTGTCTGTCTGACCCAGCCTTCTGTATGTCCTCCATTCATAAAGAAGTTTTCAGATTGAGCCCTCTAGCCTGTTTTTCAGCCTACTCTATCAATCTAAGTTGTGATTTCATAAGAAATAAAAGCATTTTATTTTTCCTCACCAAGTAAACTTAAATTGAGATGACTTTGATGCATGTTTTTATTATACCATCATTTATAAATTTCCTGAAATGCATATAGTACCTAACCTATTAAACATAAATCAAATACATTTTTAATTAGCTTGACTTTATTTTTTCATTTTTAGTTTGGAAGTAATATCTACATATACATACAAAATATCAATAAAAAGAGAAAAAAGATATCTACCATTTTCCTTGACCTTATTGAACTTTTTAAAGGAAACTGTTTTGCAGTTTTCACTTTTAATTCTTCTGTGATTATTTCTATAAACATATGTAATTTACTTCTAGTTTTAGATCTGCACAGTGAAGGCTGATTGCATTACTGTTTCATTATGAAATGTTAGGAACTAAACTTCATAGAGTTTCTGTTTATAAATTTTTATTATGCCAGTATAACTATTATTCATTCTTTCATGTTTTTCTACAAGTTGATTCCAAAAATGAAATATTAACACGCTGCATTTGTATTATTAAACTGTTGTTCACTTTATAACTAAATAAACTGATTAGATAAGTAGTAAGAATATAATCCTGTGTCACTCAGACTTTGCTGTTGGAAAATATATAATGTTTTAATACTGGATTTTTTTTTTTAATTCACGTTGAAAATTTGTAGAGGGAAAAGTGATTCCAAGTAGGTGCCACCTATGGCATCTTAATTCTAAGAGTTTTTTTTTTTGTCTGTCTGATTTTTAGATAGTGTTTTAGCACTCAACTCAAATTATTGAGTTTCCATTGTGATCTAAGGCCTTATGTATTTATAAATTCATGTAGTTTGTTCAAGGAACTATAGGATTATGCTGGGCATGGTGACACCTGCTATAATTCTAGCTACTGGGAGGCTGAGGCAGAGGAGTGCAAGTTCAAGGCCAGCCTGGGCAACTTACTGAGACCTTGTCTCAAAATAAAATAGAAAAAGGGACTGGTTAGCTCAGTGTTATAGTACTTGCCTAGCATGCTCAATGCCATGGGTTCGCTCCCCAAACCATAAAACAAACTATATGATTACAAATTACTGAGACTGAAAGGCACTTTGAGTTTGCATTGTGTAGCACTTATATTTTTGGTGGCTCCTTACTATCCTTAAGATAAAGTTTAAGTTGTTCCCACTGGGTGTGGTATAGAGCCTTCAGCCCTTAGCTTAGTTTTGACCTTATCTCTTGCTAACATTTGACCAGACCAGTCTCCTCATAGAGTCCTAGGAGGCTGCATTGTGTTGTGGCAAGGATGTAGGTTATTGAGATGGGTGGACCAGGTGTGTCACATTAGTAGCTTTGTGTCCTTAAACTTGTTGCTTTCCTGGCCCAGTCTCTTCTCTGCTCCCCAGTATGAATAAATGTGTAGACATGCAGGTCTGCTCCTGAGGATCCATATTTCTTTCTTTTTTCTTTGCTTACCCTGTTCTTTATTCCTGGAGTCCTGCCTTTTAATTGTCCTAACACCCCATTATGCTGTAATTCCTAGTTCATCAGGAATTTTAATATTTCTTATATGTGATTGTTACTTGGAGATTATGTGGTGTTATATACCATCAATTACATTGTTAATTGTGTTTTTTCCTCATTTGCTGTGTCTTCAGGAAGACTATTTCATTAAATTTCAGACAGTATCTGAATAATATTTTTAAGTATACAGAATAAAGCACAAAGGAATTATGTTAAAAAACAATGTTGAAAAGCAGGTACTCTGCTGGGAGACCCTTAAGAGTCGTGTCTTCATGGGGTAGCAAGAGTGTAGGAGATTTATTTTGTTTTTGGTACCAGGATTCAACAGGGGTGCTTAATCACTGAGCAACATTCCAAGTCTTTTTTATTTTTTGAGACAGGGTCTCTCACTAAGTTGCTTAGGGACTTGCTAAGTTGCTGAGACTGACCTTGAACTTGTGATTCTTCTGCCTCAGTCTGCCAATTTGCTGGAATTAAGATGTCCACCACCACACCTCCTGAACTTTTTATTTTTTTTTTTGGACTGGTATCTGGAATGATGTCTTGAGTTTTTGGAAATTTGTGATCTTGCTTTTTTAGTATTTCTTTTTATTTAGACAACAATAACATGTAAGGTTTTTATGTGTACAAGTTTTAGAAGTGGTGAACATTTAAACATAAAAAAATTTTACATTTTTGAAAAATTTCTTTTCATTCTTAGTGCGTAGAGAAATTGATACTCTTAATGAACGTTTAGCTGCTGAAGGACAAGCGATTGATGGAGCAGAACTGAGTAAGGGCCAGCTCAAAACAAAAGGTAAGGTGAATGCTCCTGAAGTATTCTCTTACAGATCATTTACCAAGGAAATTTGGGATTTAGTGAAGGATACTTACTCACTTGCTTTTTGCTCTCAGCAAAACTTTAGAAAAATATGTAATTCAGGTGTGGTCTAGAGGAATAAATCAGGGTGCTTGGGTCCTTGTTCCATCTCCTCTCTGAGATCCATGTCATTGTGGGCAAACAGGCCCTTCTGCTTTCACTTTCTTTCTGTTTAAGACAAAGATCCACTTTGCAATGCTGTGGTCCTTGGGTAGTTTGATTGTATTTGATTGTTGATTCTCTGTCTCTACAGCCAGTCACAGTACCAGTCAGCTTTCTCAGAAACTAAAGACCACTTACAAGGCTTCAACCAGCAAGGTATGCAGGGCTCTGGCTCTCGAACCAGTCATGTGGTGTTTAAGGTGTGCAGATGTGTACTTTAAATTGCATATTTTCCAATTAGAAATGTGTAATAGAAAAAGATAAATGTCTGGTTTCTAGGAAAACTTAATCTTTAAAAGAATATCATGTTAAGAAACTAAAGAAAGTAGACACATAGACACTAAGTTACTCTAATACTTACTGAGATCAATATGTTATGTATTAGTAAATATATTGTCTGTAGAGGAAAAATATATTTTCTGTTTTTAATTGGCTTGTCATAAAGGCTCTGAGTTGGAAAAAGCAAATAAATAGATATAAGATAATTAAAATTATGTTTGGGCTAAAGTTACCATTATCTTTTAAAAAATCTTGTAAGAGAAAGATGAGGAAGTAAAGGTCTATCTCTGAGGCAAATAAAGGGCATAAGTTCAGGGAATTTAGCTTTTAAAGTATTTGTGCTGATGTTGAAATGGTAAGGATTTAATTGTTTGGAAGTCAGTCTATGATGAAGCAAAGTTTTGAGGTAATTTTGTGTGCATCTCTAGTTTCAAGTATTTTGAGTGTGTAAGATAAATTACCTACTCATGGTGAATGTACATTCCTTTGGCTAACCCTGAGGGGAAAAGTTGAAATTTGCTATGATTGCATAGTTACTGTTAGCTTTTTATTTTTCCAATTTGTTCTCTGAACTTAAAGTTGTATGGCATGACAGCTACAGTGACATTACTTATAATGAATAGGGAAAAATCAGTGTTTCTATTATTCTTATTTAGAAGTTTTTGGTAATTATTGTTTAAAAGGGAATAGTGTTGCTGACATTTTCTACTCTTTGCTTTGATAGCACCTAGAATGTAAGTTGCTAATTTTTGTTTTTTTGTTTTTGTTTTTTTTTTGGGGGGGTCTTATATTATCTAGCTCACATTGTTTTGAAATTTTTAATAAATTTAACTTTTTCTTCAAAATAAAGTGTGAAATTATGTTTTTCCTCATTTGATCTCTTGTTGCATTATCTTGAATGACTTTGCTTATTCTGGTGCTTAACAGTTGTATGTATACAATGTGCAATCTTAGAATTCTAAAACTTTCTGATTGTTTCTGAAGTAGAGGAAGAAATAATTATAAAAAGTTATTCTTTACCATGAGCAATAAAAAATAAGGTTTGGACAAAGGTAAGGATATGTACAATAATACTCTGCTTTAAAAAATATATTGGAGATATTTAGAGACTTAGTCATTTAAGGACTAGAAATTCATCTGAATTTATAAGAAACATTATACTAATGATTTTTAATAGCATTTGCACACTGTGTGTACTCATCTTAAGAAATAACATTATCTGAAAATTGAAGAAATAATTTAGTAACAGAATATATTCTGATTTGTACTACAGCATGGATTCTTGGTATTAAAGCTAAGCATGAATGCAACAAGAAAAATGCTACAATCTAGATTCATTACTTTCCTTCCTTCTGACTCAGAGCCATGAAAGGCAAGTAGCATGTTTGGTGAGATAGTGGGAACACAAGTGTATTAAGTAAACCCAGAAGAGGTTTTTCCCCTTCCTGGGTGGCTAATGGTGTATTTCTAATGCTACATTGGGAGGGAGGTAAGATAGTTTAACCTGCAAAGTTCTTTAAAGAAACTTATGAAATTGTTAACCAGTATTTTTATAAAGTATCTTTCATTGTAGAAATTAAAAAAAAAAACCCTTTCTGATTTTTTCAAAAATGCTTTAGATTGCATCTTAGTTGAAATGATTTAGGATAATAGGCCTAAGCATCATTTAGTTGCTATTCTGCTGCTTTACTATAAAGTTTGAATGTTCCTTCTAAGTAATTCAGTCTGTTTTGTTGCCTCTTTTTGATTGTGACTAAGTCAATGTTTTAAAGAAAGAGTTAAAGTTAATAGATCGTCAAAATATAGTGGGCATTTTGGAAGATACACATGAGATGATGTTACAATATTCATAAACAGCACATTATCTTCTGCTTGCAAAACAACACGAAGAATATAGTTGGACTCTCATGGTGATAGTGATAACCCCTCTAATCTTACTGTAGGAAGGGGATAAGTGAAAAATGTGGTTTCTTATAAAACTATTATTTATATTAGAAATGGTGAGAGACTTGGAAAATGAAATTTACTACAAGTTACTATGGGGAAAGTTGTATGTGGTCTTTAACTTCACTCTCTACTAAAATATTGTGATATTTGGTATTTAAAGAACATTTTCTGTAAGCAAAAACACTTTATTATATTGTGGAGAGATCATTTTGCTGAATTGAATAGGTAACAACTCTCGGAAAGAAATGAAGTTAAGCAAGTCTTTTTATATTATCTGTCAAATTTAAACTAACTCAGATGGAATCTGTGTATATTATTGGTAAAAATGTCAGATTCTTCCTCAAGTATTTTGCTTTAGTCTTTTACTGTATCCGGGAAATACTCTGAATGGCACATACCTGAATTGATGTAACAGTGGATTGTGCATTTTTATGTTTATTTAAGAGTAAATTCAAACACAATTTTTAGGGCTTTGCCAAACTAGTGTTGAAGTTGTATGATGCCATCAATTTTTGACTTTCACTTGGTTTTATGGTTTCATTTTTCTGAATAATCGACAATATTCTGATTTATTTAAAAGCTAAGAAGGTTTTCTTTTATCTAAGAGCACTTTAAAAACCAAATTTCAAAGACATCTTTTTTAGTTTCTTCCTTACTCATTTTATTTTTCCTTATAAGAGGAAATGAGAATTGTTTGTTGTATGTCATTATATGAGATAATATCTTCCTATGTGTGTACCTCATTGTCTGTATTATTTTCATGTTTGACTCCCATTAGACTGTGCGCTTCCAAAAGGCCAGGAGTTCATGTGTTGTTCAGCTCTGTTCCTCCATTTAGTACAGTGCCTGGCTTTGAGCAAGTGCTCAATAAACAGTTTAAAACAAACCTGCTCATCTGTTAAAAGTGTCGTCTTTTGTTCCTTTCCCAGCACGGGCTCTTTTTCCCTTCTGATAAAATATGATTGGTGTAAATGATCAAAAACAGAAAAAAATTAAAGATTTTCATGGAGCACAATAATATTAATAGTTCAGGTATTCTTCCTTTTTCATGTCTGGTTGGCTAGCTAGCTCTTTGTTTTTTTTTAAAAGAATTTGGAAATTTTGTCTGATGTTTCATATTTGTGGAAGGGTGACTTAAAATGTCTACCTACGCCTTTCTTCTGTAGTAAGAATTATTTATCTGACTCCAGTGAAGTGGGGGAAGTCTTCCTTCTCTGTGATACCCAGCTGAACGAGCCTGACTTACTATGCAAGGTGTTTCAGTTCTGTCCATGCTTTTGTTGTGTTCCTTTAGTGTTTACAATATGTGATTAAGTGATTTATGCTTTTTTCAAGAGATTATTTTTGGTTTTCCTTTGTAACAGAAAAATTCACTTCAGTAAATGTTTAAAAATGCTCCTTCCCCTCTTAATTTTAGATTGTCTCCAGCTTTAAGACTACCACATCAAGGGCTGTCTGTCAGCTTGTAAAGGAGTATATCGGCCACAGGGATGGTATCTGGGATGTCAGTGTTGCAAGGACACAGCCAGTGGTACTTGGGACTGCCTCTGCTGGTGAGTTGCACCCTGATCCATTTGGCTTATCGAGATGTGACTTTGCTTGCAAATTGACTGAGGTAGGTGACTGTCAGGAATCAGTGGCCTTTTTGTGTTCAATGAGTATGTTGACAGCCAATGGTGGACTTGAATTTCTGAGGAAGGAAATACTTGAATTTAACTTAGTGTCATGTTAAGGAATCAATATTCACTTATGGCTGCTACATAAGTGGGATTTTAAAAATGTTAGGTATTTTTTGGTTGACTTTGTTCCTGTTATTCATAGCCAGATATATTTCTGATTTGTAGATAGATTTGACATTTCTTTTTTTTTTTTTTTCCACTAGTGAAGTAGAGCTCAGGGAAATGCACATTATCTAGGGAGCTTAGCTGGCAGTGGAGACTGGTGTCCCTCAGGGTTTGCCTGCATGAATCATGGGGTAGGGTGTTAGAAAGAGACTTCTTTCTTCTCACTATAGCAAGAGACTTTATGGAAAGCTAAGGTGGTATAGGTATAACATAATAGCCCTTCAGATAAAAATTGCCAAAATTTAAAATGTTACTCAGTTTTTTGAAAATGATTTTCCAGCATGTGAGAATTTAATACTCACTAGACTTTACTTTTTTTTTAGTTTTATTGATTTTTTTAGATTTGTTGAATGCATTATAATTTTTATTACACATATAGAGTACAATTTTTCATCTTTGTATATAGAGTATGTTGACGCCAATTCATGCCTTTATACATGTACACTTTTTTTGCGCTACAATTCTTATTACACATATATACCACAATTTTTCATAACTCTTTGTATATAAAATAGGTTGACACCCAATTTGTGTCTTCATATATGTACTTTGGATAATGATGTCCATCACATTCCACCGTCCTTGCTAATCCCCTGCCCCCTCCCTTTTCCTCCCACCCCTCTTCCCTATCTAGAATTCATCTAGTCCTCCCATGCTCCCCCTCCCTACCCCACTATGAGTCAACCTCCTTATATGTTTTTTTGGGAATGGCTAACTTTACTTAGCATTATCTTCTCCAACTCCATCCGTTTACCTGCAAATGCCATGATTTTATTCTCTTTTAGTGCTGAGTAAAATTCCATTGTGTATATATGCCACATTTTTTTTTTTTTTTATCCATTCATCCACTAGGGCATCTAGGTTGGCTCCACAGTTTAGCTATTGTGAATTGTGCTGCTATAAACATTGATGTGGCTCTGTCCCTGTAGTATGCTGTTAAGTCCTTTGGGTATAGTCTGGGGAGAGGGATAGCTAGGTCAAATGGTGGTTCCATTCCCAGATTTCCAGGGAATCTCCATACTTCTTTCCATATTGGTGGTACCAATTTGCAGTCCTACCAGCAGTGTATGAGTGTACCTTTTTCCCCACATTCTCGCCAACACTTATTGTTGTTTGTCTTCATAATAGCTGCCATTCTGACTGGAGTGAGATGATATCTTAGAGTAGATTTGATTTGCATTTCTCTGACTTTACTTTTTAAAGGTAAAATAGAACATGATATATCATGAAGATATATGAACATGATATATCATGAACATGATATATCAGTGAAGAAAAGTTCTGTCTCTTTGAAACGATGTTCATACATGAGCATTTCAGGTTGCTTTCGATATTACAAATAAAACATGAAAAGATTCTAATGTTTCTGAAATTTTATTTGGAGAATTGGCATTTATCAGATTTTTCTTAAAAAAATTTTCCCCACTCTTAATGCATCTAAGATAAAAGATCCAAAGGAATATTTTTTTGTGTGTCAAATAAACTAACTAGACTTGGATACTGTTTGAATTTTAATATTGAAAGATATTTTGAAAAATTTCAATATCTCCATAAAATAATGAAACCACATAGGACTGGAAATGTGTCTTAGTGTTAGAGTGCTTGCCTAGCATGCTCACGGCTCTGGGTTCTTTACTAGCTCTGTAAAGAAAAGGAAAACTAATGAAACTATGCAGTCAGTGTAGATTAGGAAATTGAGTCCATGATTGTTCATTTACCAACTCTATAGCTTTAAACAAGTCACAACCTTTCCAATCTTCTTGGAAACTTTTTTTTTTTTTTTAAGATCCATTGAAACAGTAGTAGTAGTGTAACTTTTATTTTTTGTATTTTTTTTTTTTTTTTTTTTTTTCAAAGACTGTAAAATTGATGATGGCTATGTTATGACACTTTTATTTTGATCTTGCAGATCACACAGCTTTGCTATGGAGCATAGAGACAGGGAAATGCCTTGTCAAATATACAGGCCACGTGGGTTCAGGTAAACATTTACCTAAATGAGCAGTGTTACTTTTGGATTTGTTTTTTTAAATCTTTCATGATAAAGTCAACTATATTCATAGAAAGTTATGTATTTGACAGAAAGTTTTACTATTTTGGTTGTCAGGGACATTGTGTTATATTGAGACTATGAAAAATTTTGTGCCTTTAGCTTGGTTGGACTTAATTAAGGGAAAAGATTAGCTCCCTAAACAAAGCACATGTCGTATATTAGTCTACATTTTATCTGATATTGTGTATAAACCATATGTAGGAAATTTTGCAATTGATTTAATATATGCATTTTTACAAAATATGTATCTGTTTTAGAAGTTTACTTTTAATGATATTTTGGATATATTCAGGCTAAATAAATGATACACCTTATTATTGTGCTTCATGTCTGTAGTTAATGCTATCTATAATAGCTCTTTTCTGCCTTTTCAGTTTTACCCGGGTATGAACCAGCGTCCCAACCAAATTTTATTTCTCACTTTTCTCCAAAATGCCCTTTGAGTTTCTTTCTAACTTAGAATGCCCTCATCGATAGCCTCCATCAGAGGCAGGCTGCCACTCACTCACTACCTCTGCCAGCTGACACTGTACCCTTAATCTTTGTAGAGACTACAGAGCCAGAGTTATCATTGTCTTTAGCTTGTACTAAGTTACACACTTGGGTTTGTTTGGGTGCCTTTCTGTCCACTTCAGTGGCCCCTTCCAGGCCAGGGCTCTAAGTGAGCTGCCCTCATCTCTTCCCTTCGTAGGATCTTTTATTTTTCAGCTCTTCCTCTTGTCACCTGTGTCTTCTGTCTCTTGCCATGGGCCTTTCCTTCTAAACATATAGACAGGCTCATACCTTTCCCATAGTGAACATCTTCTCTCCATGCTGCTTCCTTACCTGTTTTCCTTTCCACCTTCTATCCCACATACTACATCTGTGGCACTGTTGCATGGCCTGCAGTTTTCTTACACAATGCCTGGGATATATATAATAGGTTCTCAAAATATAACACAACTCTGGTAAAAGAATAAGTATCGTTTTCTGTTTCTGTGTCTTCAACTCAAATTCATTCCTTAAATATATTTGTTTATTTCTAGCAAATACATTGCTTAAATTTATTACTTAAAAGTTATATACACTTTTTAACATCTCTTTCCCCCAGTTATCTGTATTTTAATGTTGAGATTAAAAATATCTTCTAGCATTTTTCATTTGGTTTCTTAGAAAAGTAATTCTAATGGCATAGCGACAAAATTTCATTGGAAGAGATAACTGATTGAGGTGTGGTACTCCCACTACATTCTGTGTAAGGGACTGTACTTTCCTTATGAGATGTGGAAGTGAGGGTTTGACCTTCCCAGAGCAACTTGAGTTCAGCTCATTTTTGATTGACTAGCGATGGTTTCAGTCAGTTGTAAGACCTAGGATTTATTTGAGGAGAGAATCCTAAGTGGGTGGGCGGACTCAGGATTGCTTTAGGAGCTGAGCAGTGCTATTAAGTTGACTGTGGCCTCAGTGTGCTGGGTTATTGTCCTTGTGCTTGCTGTCTTGTTAACCACCCATTGAGATATCTCATTTGCAGTCAAGGAAGAAAGCAAGGGGAGTGCGGTGCTGAGATTCTTTTTTGGCTTCAACTACTTTTTTAAGAAAATGAGAGCTTCCTCAGAAAACCTTCATTGAACTACCCTTTTTATGTTGTTGAACTCTTGAATGAAAAAAGTAGAGGTTATCATCACAGTTTAACCCAGTTCTTTTCCTGGATTGGAGGAGTTCACTTATGGTCTCCATTTGTCTTGAATTGATTGGGATTCTGTATGCTGGGAAGGAGAACAGGGTGGGGCCTGTCATTTGGGGACCAGTAGGCAGCATCTGCACACTGGAGTTTGCCTTTGCCTGTTGTCACAATGATGTTTTCTTTTTTCACCCTGATTTATTTTTAGCTCTAAACAACTCCCTGTTTGTAAAAAGAAATAGATTATTGATGTTCTTTTTTTGGTGTTTCCTATATTTAGCAAATCTGGTAGTTCTAATACATTTATTTATAATTTAATTGAGTGAGAGGATTTAATATTGAACTATCATAGTGCCTTTAATTTTTAATTTTAGCTTTGCAAATATATATGTAGCTAATAAGTACTGATGAATTGTTTTGTTACTTTAAACTGTGTTTATAATATTTTTATTTTGCAGTAAATTCTATAAAATTTCATCCCTCAGAGCAGTTGGCTCTAACTGGTATGTTGTTTTTTTTTCCTCTTTAATTGAACAAAATTATTGATAATAGTAAAACAACTATAAATATTCTTTTATTGGTAGCATCTGAATTATCCATGGCTTTTATGAAAGTTAGGCATTTTATGAGTTAAATGAGAAATGAATAAAAAGTAGTACTTTTAAAAACCAGTAGTGGATCACAGATTGGAATTACTTGAATTTATTGTGAGATTAAAATTAGTTTGTATTTTTTTTTTCCTTTTCTCCTCCTCTCTTTCCTCCTCCTCCTCTCTTTTTGGCAGAACTGGAGATTGACTTCTAAGCATACTCTACCACTGAGCTATATTCCCCAATTTTTTATTTTTATTTGCACATTTTGAGGTAGGATCTTGTTCAATTGCCCAGGCTGGCCTTGAACTTGGGATTCTCCTGCCTCAGCCCCTGCAATAGCTGGAATTATAGGTGTATACTACTGTGCTGTGCTTCAATTTGTAATCTTCTTAAAGCCTTTTTTATAAAGCATTTTATTATTGCCTTTGATAATTTACAGTAAATTGTAATATATGTATTTTGAAACCCTGTGATTACTGCTCTATTTCCTAATCCTATATGTATCCAAAGTAAAGAAATGAGAAAAAATAATAATGAGATAGCAATTTTCTAGACTCAGCACATTTTCATTCCTTTCTAGACAATTTACTTATACTGTGGTAACTTGGATTTCTCATTTCAAATAGTGGTTTAAAAATTATAATTACATTTGTTGCTTTTGGAAAGTAGCATTATTTTCTGAGGATTTTTCCTAAAAGAATTGCAAGAAACCTGCAGATATTTTGGGGTTACTGTAGATAATCTTGAAGGGTATATGTAGGCTTTTGATAGATTAGAGGTCTGCAAATCTTCCATAAAGGGCCAATTAGTAAATATTTTTATCTTTTAACCAGAGGGTCTTTGTTGAAACTCCTCAATCCTCCTGTTGTATGAAAACAGCAGAGACAATGCACTGTTGAAGGGATGACCTTTTACTTACCGAAATGACTACCTGGATTTGGCACAAAGGCCAGATTTTTCTGATCCCAAGATTCAACCCAAAAGTTGAGATGACTGGGTGCTTCATGCAGGTGGAATTGTTTAAGCAGGGAGCCCATATATGAATACTTTTAATGTGTGAGATGCAGCAAGTCATTCAGTCTGGTGAGAGGAATATGGTGGGAAGGTTAATTGGAGAACAATTTTCACAGGCCTAGACCATCATAGCTAATTTATGCCTTAATAAGTATTTGAAGACTAAAGTAGGCAAGGAATTTATATTGGTGGGTTGTTGTATGATTGGAAAAAAGGGTAAGGCAGCAAGGAGTCTAGTGTGTTGGCTATGTCTAGATGTAATACACCAAAGGATTAGAAAGGAGGGGTGAAACCAAGAGATGCTTAAAAAAGGTACTGATGGAAACATGGAGATAATTAAAGTAATGGGGATAGAGAAGAGCATTAGACTGCAATTCTATATATTATTGATTTGAAGAAAAATTGGGCAGTAAGTTGATTTCTGCCATAAAAATATGCTACTGTCATCATATGTAGTAGCTTCTTTAGGAAGCTCTGCAGCAGTGAGGAGAAGATGAAGGCCCAAATGGTTTTTTGAGGGGTGAGACGACACCATTCTGGTAAATCTGAGAGCCTGTTCTAGGTCTTGTAGTTCTACCCTTTGTTTTCACTCTTGAGTCAAAGCATTTCTTTCCAAACTTTGGGGAAAAGAGAAGAATAGGGAGGCAGCACAAATAAGTAACAGTAACAGGTACCTAGCAAATTGTAAAGTCCTATAAATGATGAATGCATTAAAACGTCTTAGGTTGCTAAAACATCTTAGAACCTATTTTAGTCACAAGCTATAGTGTAATAAAATTCCTATTAGATAGAAAATAAAATCTACATATTTGTAAATTTTCTCTGAACCTCCAAAACTTTCTACCCTAAAATGAAAGGGGAAGTATTTTTATAAGTAATCATAATCCTGATTTTGTACATTTACTCCTTTTAATAGAATTGTGTAGTCTGTGAATTAACTATATATTTATTGCACCAAATAATCACTAAATTAGAAAAATCTGACTGAGGTTTTTTAGCCAGAGCATAGCAAAGAGCACATTTTATGTAAGATGTGTACATTGGGTAATTTTCCCCAATTTCTCTCTTCAGCTTCTGGAGATCAGACTGCTCACATTTGGAGATATGTGGTACAGCTGCCGACACCTCAGCCTGTTGCCGACACTAGTGTAAGCTCATTTACTTACCCATAAAACTCAATATGGTCCTACTAATGTACAATTCTGGACACTTGCAAATTTCAGAATACATTTATAGTATCTGGTGTGAACTGAATGCTTGTATCTCTCTGCAAATTCATATGTCGAAGCCCTCATCTCCAATGAGGCTGTATTAGCAGTTGGGATCTCTAAGGAGTAATTAAGGGTTGAATGAAGTCATGAGCATGGAGCCCTAACCTGAGGGCATTAGTGTCTTTCAAAGAAGGTCACCATAGAGCATGTGTGTGCTTGCATAGTGTGCTCTTACACTCTCCCTTGCTCTGTCATTTTTTTTCCCTCCATCATTTGAGGAGAGAGAAGTCATCTGAAAGCCAGGAAGAAATCCCTTACTAGGAACCAAATTGGCAGGAACCTTGATCTTAGACTTCTGACTTCCAGAACTGTGTGAAAATAAATTTCTGTTGTTTGTATGTCACACAGCCTTATGGCAATTCATTATGACAGTTGGAATTAACTAAGATTTGGCAAAGAAGTGGTGTGTTGATGTAAGAAATACCTAAGTGACTAATATTAAAATATTAGTTAATAGGTAGAGGTTGGAGGCATTTTGAGGTACCTGCTAGAAGTCTAGATTTCTGAGAAGGGATTGTTGGCAGAAATAGGGATGTTAAAGATAATTCCATTGAGGGCTCGGGAAGAAAAGAGGAAAGCTGGAAAGGACGCTTCTATCCCTTCCTCTTAAAAAATATATATATACATCACCATGCACACAATGTTAAAGGCCCTTCTGGTGAGGTCTCAGGAGGAAATGAGGAACAGGTTATTGGGAGCTAGAGGAAAGATCAGTCTTGTTACAAAGTGCTAAAGAATTTGGCTGAATTGTGGCCAGGAGTTTTGTGGAAGGTAGATTTTCCAGTTTGGATATTTAGCTGAAAGGATTTGTATGGAAAGGATGAAAGGTATGACCTGGTTTCTTCTGTGTGCTTAGAGTAAAACATGAGAGGTAGAGAGAAAAATTGAACTATTTTGCAAAAAAAAAGAACTAGAACTTGAAGATTTGGAATATTCTCAGCTTATCCCTATGCAAAAATCAAGAAAGTTTGTTCTGAAGAGACAATTAAGGTCATGGCTGAACAACTGTTTGATAAAGAAGTAAGGTAGATATGAACTGCAAATTTAGTCAGCCACCTCAGCAATAGTTAGGAATAGAGAAGAGATTATACTAGTAGAGACACTGCCATCTGGGAGTAAAGGAAATAGAGAAAATGAGATAAAATCAGTGAAGGCTCTCAAAACTGTTGAGATTCTACAACCCCCATGAAATAGAGCTGTCTGGCTGTAAACTGCTCCTCATCCTTCAAGACAAGGGAGGAAAGACCTGAAAGTGATTTGGAGATTGATAGGGTCACTACTTTCGTACCATCGGCCCAGGGGACAGGGTTAATATCTTCTCAAAGGGTGAGACTTCTTTGGTTTCTGGGGGCCAGGATGACACTGCCCAGTGCTGTAGATGGGGCTGCCCAGATGAGGCCCAAGGAGACTGGGGTGATGATGCCATCTTGGTGGTTTTGGAGGATAGACCATTGAGCTAACAAGGATTGTTTGGGGGGTCTTAAGATCCGTGGAAATTTGCCTTATTCAGTTCTGGACTTGTTGGGAACCTGTTGTCCCTTTTGGAATGGGAATGTTTATCCTATGCCTGTCTACCATTTTATTTTGTAAAAATAAACTTGTTTGGTATAGTTCATAGCTGGAAAGAAATTTTTCCTCCAGAAGAATTTTATCTGCAGACTCACCCATACCTAATTTAGATGCTACTTCATTAAGACTTTAGACTTTAGTGCTAATGCTGGAATTAACATTAGAGCTAAGATTTGGGGGACTTTTGGGATGGAATGAATGTATTTTGCCATGTAAGAATGTCATGAAGTAGGGGCTGAGGTTGTGGCTCAGTGGCAGAGCACTTGCCTAGCATGTGTGAGGCACTGTGTTTGATCCTCAGCACCACATATAAATAAGTAAAAAATAAAGGTCCATCAACAACAAAAAAATATTAAAAAAAAGAATGTTATGAAATTTGGAGGACTGGGGTAGAATGTTATGGATTGAGGTTTGTATTGCCCCCAAATTCCCAATGTGGCTATATTTGGAGGAAGGGCCTTTAATTAGGAAGTAGGTAAGGTTGAATGAGGTTATAAGGCTGGGGCCCTGATCCATTAGGGTTAGTGTCCTGAGAGGAAAAGACAACTAGAGCACTTTTCTCATGATGTGTGGACTCAGCAAGGAGCAGAATGTGCCAACCAGGAAGAGAAACTGCTCTGGTTGGTACCGTCGTCATGTTCTGCTCTCCAGGACTGTTTAAGAAAATAAACTGTTTGAGCCACTCAGTTTGTTTTTGTTATGTTCTGGCATATTTTATTTTGTTATGGCAGTTCAAGCCAAGACAAGACCTAAAAAGAAGTATCTTCATAAGATATGCTTACTTTAGCCTTACTTTCCACAAATATTAAACATTTATTATTCTTTTAAATGTTATGTTTAGGTTATAATTCTTAGTGTATTATATATGTAAAAATAGGCACCTTGTTAATTTTTTGTGGATTTTATTACCACATCAATTAATGACTTATGTGGCATCATCATTTTTATGTGGGTAAAATTTTAATGTAGGTAACAAAAGGTATTACACTTTGAGAAGAAATAATCCACCTGTCCTTAAATTACTTTTGTACCACTTCATTCTGAGTCAGTAGATATATGATCACATGATGGTTTTAATTATTCTTTGAATGAAAATTATCCTTCCTAGTTTCTATTGCACTGTAAATTTTAGCCATGTTGTCATCACAATGGTTGGTCTCTCTCTTTGCTGCATAAGCAGGTTGAAATGGTGACAGCACATGATTTTATGTAGTCAATGCAAGTCTGTGAGGTTTCAGTTTGTGTTGGGCTGTGATTGTTGTGAGGATGTCAGTAATCTAGTTTTTATATTTCTGTCTTTGAATATTAATTTACTTTTCTGCTTTGTAAACATTCTAAACATCATTGTATTTGGAGGCAGGTTAAGCAATTAATTCCGGCAATAAATGAGCTTGTTTCAGTTGAAAGGTCTTAACAATTCATTTTTAATTGAGTATGTAGTGGTCCCCCTTAGTTCATAGTTTTGCTATCTGAGGTTGTAGTTACCTGTGGTTAGCTACAATCTGAAAATATTAAATGGAGAAATCCATACATAAATACACTTTAAATTTTAAATATTTTAAAAAAATACCATTGTTGTTATTCTATTTTGTTATTAGTTTTTGCTAATTAAACTTTATCAAAGGTATCTATGTTTACAAAAACACAGTATTTATACAGTTCAGTACAGTCTGTTAAAGAATCTGCAGAACCTCTTGGAACATATCACCCTCAGATATGGTGGGACAGTTATATATTTAACAGTTTTTTTCTTCCTTGTGGAATTCCCAACTCTTATGTGGCATACTTACATTGTGCATTAGGGGGAAAAAAATTAAGCACTGTTGAGGGACAAAGGCAAAGAAATGAGGGTGAGGATTAATGTTCAGAAAACTCACAAACTAAATATCATCAGGATTGTTTTCCAAATAAAATTTGGAAAAACACCAATATTGGTAGAGGAAAACTTTTGTACAGTACTTAAAAAGCATTTAATAGTTTACTTGGAATACTAAAATAACTTTGTTTTCTCTTCATTATTTTGCTTGCATTTAACATGACAGCTTTTTCCCTGGATAACTGCTACCTCCATATTTGGGGCTAATGTTGGAGTGGGAGGAGCTCAGTTTGAATTAAAGATGAGCCTGCGTTACAGATATTTGGATGGCTTCAGTTAGCTCCTGCCTCACCTCCTTGGTAGTAGGCAGTATCCTTCTGTAGTTATTGCTGGATGAAGATGCTTCTTAATTGAAATTAGCTTGTTTTCTTAAACTTTTGCTGGCCAGTCTTGACTCAGATTTGCTTAGCAATTCTAAACATAGATTTTAAGACAGACTCTAATCTGTTAAAAATCTGTGTTTGTCTTGAATCAATACAGTTTTCCCACAGATGTTATCTTCAAAATTTGCATCAGTGAGTTTTATTTGTAAGTTATCCACAGTGTTAATTTTATTTAAGAAATATTTGGGTATGTAGAATAAAGAGATTTTAGATTACCAAGTAGATAGGTGTTACACATTTGTTTTGTGACATTCAGTCATTAAGTAGTAGGGTTAATTTTTTCCAACCCAAAGTGGGAATTGAAAGGAGTTAACTAAGTGGCTTCGAGTGTGGTCTTTGCTATGTTAAAACACAGATTCAGTGACTCTTTGATTTTGAGGACTTAGTAGATACTTTATCAGTATTACATTGGCAATTTCTGGACATTTTCTTAAAATATTGCTGTCAGTAAAACCATTAAACACATTAATTAGCTCTAAGATGGTTAAAAAAACCACACATATATGTATATGTATGTATGTAATTTCTACTCTTTCTAGCCCCTGCGCTTTGTCAAATGAAGGTTAAAAGAGCTTATAATTATTCTTAATACTGTACAGTACCTTTTAGTATCTTGTGTAGTGGAAGAATTACTTGTGTAAGTTGTTAACTTTGTTTCACCTTTTAAAACAGGGATTCTGATAACCAGGAACTCCAGGGCTCCCTTCCAAGCTCCCACATGTCCACTCTGCATGTTCAGTCCCTCAGTTGAACTTTTAAGTGCCTCACACTAAATGTGACCCAAACCTCTAACATATGATATGATCTTGCTCCCAAACCCCCTCAGATGTTTCCTGTGTGAGGAAGTAGTTCTATTGTATACCTAGTTGTTTATTTCCTTCCATCAAAAAATACTTTTTAAGTAGCCTCTTGCGTTCACTGTTCTAGGTCAGGGTTCTAGCGGTTAACAAAACTCAGAAAATTTGGAATTCTATTAGACTTCTCTTATCCTCACCCTCCTTCACTTCTAAACAGTCCACAGAGTCTTACTGATTACAGTTCGTAAAGCC